GGCGCGAGCGGCCGCCCAGCCGCCAGCCGCAGGTGCACTGAGCGCCCGCGCCACCCTGGGGCGCCCCGCGCTCCTCTGCAAGTGCCTTCTGGACTTGGGGCCCTCCCGCAGCCGCTGACCGGACTCTGGGGAAAGGGTGCAGCCTGCGGGGCTGCTGCTGCCCTGGGCGCCGGCCCCACTCTGCTCTTATTTAATGGTCCCTCTTCCAGTGAATAAAGGGGGACGGTTCCCATTAACCTTGGCCGTCCGTGTCTCCAGCCTCTGCCTTGATGGGCCAAGGCTTGTGGCAGGGCACTCATCAGGCAGTACCAACCAGTTTCCCCCGGTGCATCAGGCCCTGTTCTCGGGTCTGGATGGGGCTGTCACTGCTCCCTCCTCAGCACCCCATGGTGCCTGGGGTGACAGCTGGGGCCAGGACCGTGCTCAGCCCATGACCTCTTTTGGGGCAGGGTGGGGGAAAAGCCACGCCTGACACAAGAACTGAAGAGCAAGTTTTTACTTCAGTAACTGACAGAAGAAGCTGTACAAAGATTTTTTTTCTCGCTTCCCCAAGCCACGTGGGGCAAGGGTAGTTTTTTTTTTTTCGTTTTTTTTCTTTTTTTTTTTTTGCAAGACTCAGAAGAGCAGAATAAAAAGTTTGACACATTCGCAAAGTCAGTGCTGAACCCAGCCGAGTCCCTGGCGGCCCAGAACAGCGCGTTTGCAGCCCCCCTCCCCAGCCCTTCTGCTGTTCGTGGAGCCCTCTGCATGCCCGCTCCGTGCTGCTGCTGCCATGGCTTACACACCAGCACTGCAGGATGGCTGCCCGCGCTCCGGACCGGCAGCCCTGCTGCCCGGGACCGGGGGTGCCGGCGCGTGCTCCTGCCGCTGGCCTCCTGCTCACCGTGCAGAAGATGGAGCCCGCGGGGGGCTCTGGCCGCTGTGCTGCCTCCTCTAGCAGGACTTGGTGCCTCTTGCGTTTGGACCACGCTAGGGGCTGCGTGGAGCACCCCCTGCACCTTGGAGCAGCAGTGCCCGAAGCAGGAAAGGCAGCTCCGGGCTCACTAGCGCCAGATAGTGTCATTTCCTAGCAGCCCTCTCGAGCAGAGGTTCATCTTCCAGCCAGCCTGAGCAGGAGCTCTGTGCACCAGTGTTACATGGACCACGGAGCCAGGCTGGGCTCCTGCAGCACCCGCGGGCGCCCCACCGTGCCTGGGGCTCCGGCTCCCCTGGGGCTGGGCCCCTTGGGCTGGCTGTGGGGCTGCTGCTGGTGCAGGAGGCAGCACAAGAGGGGCCGGGGGTGCAGGCTGGTCAGGGTGCAGCAGAGCACGGGGGGCTGCGAGGGAAGCACCCTCACCCCGGACTCCATGTAAAGTGCAGTGTCTACAGGCAATGGCTGGGGTGGTTTTGTTTTGTTTTTTTTGCA